GGATCCAAACAGATCCAGACTGATCCCATCGGATCCAGACTGATTCAAACAGACTGATTTATCAAACTGATAAATTCAGATCTAGACTGATCCAATTAGAATCCATATTTTCGTGTTTGACAGGTGACCAGGTTCCAAGGCACTTAAGTTCACCATCTCAGAGGTAAATGCTGGTTTAAGGTTGGATGTTTTGGCATCAGGGTGGGGAAGATGACAGGGATCAGCGCTGGTTTTAGGGATGCAGCATCACATCAAACTTTCTAATACAAATGGAAACATTCCCCAAAATAAGATCAAATATTAGAGGTAAGCCAGACTTATTAGCCCAAACCAGTTTGACGTCATCAGGTGTGAACAGGAACCAGTGTGGGTGAAGAAGACAGATCTCCAGCCATGCTTCATACCTGACGGAGGACTTGGTCATTGAATTGTTTATTATCAGGTAAGGTTGGTGGTATTTGGAAAAGGGAGGCCAGGAAACTGGGACTCTGTTGTCGCCTCTGCTGGGATCTCTGGGGAGAAAGGAGAAAAGGTTGACACCAGTTTACCAAAGATGAGACCAGTTTAAAGATTTCTGACTCAATGCCCAGTTTACCCACAGAATCAGGCTCCATTTTAGACGGGTTCAGTCCAAGTATGACTCTCAGGCTCAATCCGGCAGCTTGCTTTGAGTTTCCATGAGACCAGATCCTAACAGTTTGACCAATCCAGGACTGGTGTGTCAGACGTCTATCAGCTTATATACCGATTTGGTTTATACACCAATGGAACTAATGGCTGACTAATCCAGTATAAACCACATTAAAAAACAAATCCAGCTCAAACAATCTGTTTCTGTTTACATTTCAGTTCAGTTTCAGTCTGGGTAGTAAATTATATAATTTGACATGCAGAACAATCTAACCTAAACCAGTTTCTTGGCCTCATCAGTGTGACCTTGTGTTGACAGTGTGGACAGGATCGAACCAGGAGTCAAAAACCTCAGATTTTATAAACATTCAGTTTAAACTTATCATAAAGAAGGTTGAAGTTCAGTTAATTCATCCCAAGAGGCTCATAAAGTGGTAAGAGGGGGTGCTACCCAGTGTGATCATACCTGTTCTGAAACACGTGTAGACCGACCCAGGTCATGTGGGTCCAAGGTTGCTCAGCAAGAACCCCTGGCATTATTTCAACCTGTTCTAGTTTTGGAAAAGGTTGGACCATACAGGTAGAGGCCTTGTCCATAGTCAGACCACTTTCACTCACTCCAAAGAAAAACAGATCTAGTCTGACCCTTCGTGAACGTTGCAGTGCATGCTGGGAGTTTACCCGGTCTTTGCGAAGTTGGTCCAGTATGCGATCATGTAGCCTGACAGGTCACGGTGTCGAGGAAAGTAGACCAGTGGCATGGAGAAGGGTTTTCCAAACAGATACTGTAAGTCCTCTGCATGCTCCGCCTCCACCCAGCGTGGGAATCCCGGGATCCGGGTCTTCATGTTGAACAGGTAGGAGTAGGTACGGGCTCCACTTTGGGACAAAAAGGACCAACAGTCAGCAAACTGTTCAACTATAAGAACTTAGTTTAGATTTTTTAACTTTCTAATTATCGGGTCTGCCTCTGTGAACCCGGCTGTATATCAGGGCTGTACCATTCCATCCATTCATCCATCCATCCATCCATCATCCATCCATCCATCATCCATCCATCATCCATCCATCATCCATCCATCAGACATCCAGCCAATAATCATCCATCCATCATCCATCATCCATCCATCATGGCTGACCTGGTGTTGTTGGCATGGAGCTGGAGGGCGATCTGAGTTGGTACCAAAAACAGGAAGTCTGTCTCGATGTCTGCCACAGTTTTCTTTACTATATCTGGATCTGGGGCCAATCCCCAATGAACTGTGTAGACATTAAAGGCTGAGGAGACAGCAGCGTCCCCCTTCTCCTTGGTCAGACCAGCCAGAAGACCTCTCACCTGTTCTCTGAGGAGGAAATCAGACCACGTGACCTATTAAAGCAGGCAGCAGAGTAATGGCACTTTAAAAGAGGAAATCCACAGTGAACGACAACAACCAGACTTTATATCCTGAAGGAGGATGAGAGAATGGCAGTGAACCAGAGGAGATAATCAGAGGAAATATGGAGCAGATGAAGGTAGGGCAGCTGAGGAAGGAACGCCGAGAAAAATTAAGAATTCCCAACAAGGTAAAAAGATTTACATTAAACTGAGAAAAATTTAAAGACAACAGAAACCAATCTCACATCAAAGTGCAAAACCTGTTTGGGAAGGTAACAACCCGAGTTTGAAGTGCCATGGTCTTTGGATCTGTTTAAGTTTTCTTTTTGAGTTTTCACCGGTTTTGTTTCCATGTCACTCTAGTTGATTTGTTAGATTTTTGGAGATCTCATCTAGAAGGGAAGCATCTAGAAGGGAGCTCCCTGTAGCTCCCTTCTAGATGCTTCCATCCACACCTGCTCCATGTCAGCTCATTAGTCCACCTGCTCGATGTCAGCTCATTAGTCCAGTCTTTGTTCTGTCTCTGATTTATGCTGTCCCTGTGCAGTTCCTCAGTTCTGGTTCCTCGTCGTTTCTTGATCCTCTTGCGTTTTCCCTGATGTCTTCTAGGTTTTTGGCTTTGAGTATTTTTTTTTATTTTTGCCTCAGTTGCCACCATTTTCACTGAATAAATCTGCAAGAAACCACATCAGTTTCCGTCTCTGCATTTGAGTCCTCCAAAACCTCCAGATGAAGCACAGCAGCCATGAGGTGGCGGGCCGAGAACCCGAATGTGCCCTGAAGCAATGACCGGAACAGTACTCCCTGTCTGATAGAGCGTTCCAGAGAGACGCTGCCCTGCTGAACCTGGATCAAGTGGGCTTAACTCTGAGGCCTAAAATGGACCCCAGTGGGACTCCAGGTCAGCAGTGTTCAAGGGGAGGATTGCCATAAAGCCAATGATCCTCAGTACTCACGCTGTGGTGGCCTCCTTCATGCTGTTGATCGAAGGAACGTCGATTCCAGCAAAGATGTGTCCATCCATGCTGTTCACACCAGCCAGATAATCGAACTGGGCTGCATGGTGAAAGAGCTTGCTGGGATGATCAGGGAGGAAATCTCCGTCAATCACCGGAGCCAGCTCAAGCAGGTCCAAGACAGGACCTGAACAGAAGGCATTAGAACAGAACCGCATTTTCATTAAAGAGATGCACTTCAGTAAAGTCGCGTTTCCCTGGTGTCAGTGACCAGTGAAGGCTACCCAGCTGTCACTACAGTACTGGGAAAGGTTGGCGAGACGTTAACCAGTGTTACAAACATGGGGAATTCAGATTCAGATGTGTTTGTGGTCTGACCTTTCCCAAAAAGATTCAGCGTATTAATTTTTCCTGCCATGGTGAGTTTGACTGGATCAGCCGTCTTCAGGCAAGCCAACATGGCGTCCTCCTCGGTTTGATAACAACTGACCTTACGAGCAATCTGCAGAAACAGAGGCACCTGTTGTTTAAGGTTGTAGATATGAAAGAAACGGACTAATGGGGGAACTGAGGTTGTGTTTTATCACATCTTCTGCAGTGGATTGATCCCATATTCTTCTTTCCACTGTTATCTAAACTGGTATTAGCAGCTGTTATCATAGATAATGTTCTTCACTAAACAACAATATCAAGCAGCAGTAACTGGATATTCCAATTACTGGACATAGAAACTGTGGAGAGTTTTAGATACCTGAGTGTTCACGTCAATGATAAACTGGACTGGACTCATAACACCAATGGGACAGAAAGAGGCCGAACAAACTGGTGAGAAAGGCTGTTTCTGTCCCAGGCTGAACTCTGGACTCAGTGGAGGAAGTGGCTGAGAGGAGGGAGCTGTCCAAGCTTCCATCCATCATGGACGCCACCTTCCACCCTCTGCAGCAGACTGGAGAGGAGCTGAGCAGCTCCTTTAGTCAAAGACTTTTACAGCCTGTTTGGAAAAAGAAGCGCTACTGCAGGTCATTCATCCCTGCTGCCACTTAGTGCTAGCAGCTTCCCAATGGGAAATTCCATTGGGCCCAAGTAGCAC